TCATTATCTCCATACTGATTTATACCTGCCTCTGGAGATTTCCATTACTTGCATCTGAAGAAGTGAGGTTCTTACCCACGAAACGCTTATGCTCCCAATACTTCTGTTAGTCTTAAAGGTGCCACAGGACTCTCTGTTGCTTTTTACAGATTCAGACTAACACGGCTACCCCCTGATACTCAATCAACACAGGCTAAGTACAGTTCTACTGCCCTTTACTCATACAATAAAAATAACATTTCGTTACCCCTGCCCCCTCGCATTCAAGTGATTTGTAACCCAACCAAAATCTATCACTTGGGCAACACAGCTCTGTTTGCTGGATACCTAGGTAGATTAGGTGTGAATGTAAATACAATCTGGTCTTGAAGCGTTTCCCCCCAGCTCATCACTAGCTGTCAGGGAGAGCTCATTTAGACTTACAAATCATAGTTTGAAATGATTAGGTTGGCCAACAGCACCGACATGAATGCATTGACATTGTCATAAAAAACAAAAGCTATATAAGGAAGCTAGTCTATGTTTATACTTTTCAAATCTATTATACTTTTTCAGATACATGTATTTTATCATACACTTTATATGCTTTTAAAGTGTGTATTAATGTTTCAATTTCAATTCAAACTTCCAAACAATCACTAAATTGGCAACACTGCATATAACTAGTTCACTAAACTGGGGGGTGGGTGTTGGGGAATTTCAGGGGGGGGGTTCAGGGAAATCCACCTCTTTCAGCTCTTCATAGGTTATCGCCATAACATTTTCATCATCCATATGCTTGTTCCATTCAACTAAATAATCAAAATAGGAGCCCCGGGACACTGGAGGAAAAAAAACAGAAAAACAGAATCAGTCAATAATAATGAGGTAAAGATTAATTGCGACAGGGGACATGGACTGCTTTTATAGGCTTAGGCTGACTTCTTGGTATCAGACAGTGTTTTGAGGTGAGGACTACAGTAATGCATTTTGCCACTGCTCTTCTGAACAGGAGCCATAAGTGTTCCTTCCATATGATGGCTAGTACTGGCCACTAATGGAGGAGCACATATCTGCTAGGTGGAAAGGACTAAACACCCTTTTAACTACCTTAGGGACATAGCGTAGATTTTAGAAGCTGGAAAGCTAGCCAGCTGAACATTCCAGTGCACATCCTGTCTGACTGCTGGCTGGGTTGAAAAGGAGGCTCTCCTTTGCACTGATCCCAACTACAACTGAGTGAGTGATGGATTTTTTTGGTTCAGACAGTGAACTAAAAAATTCAAAAAAGAATCTTGTTTGATTTGAACCAATGACAATGTTTAAATTTTTTTGTTGAATCAAAAAAGTAGAAAAAAATTGGTTTAGAAGCAACCAAAATGTTTCACTTGACTCCAAACAAATTTTATTTTGAATTATTCACTTTGATTCAGACGTTTTAGGTGCTTTTCACCCTTTTTTGTGGTAATTTAAAAGTGAAGTGCCATTTTGAATAGAAAAGTTGAACAAAATATTTCAAACTGAAAAGGTCAAAATGAAACGATTCAGATTGATTGAAACAAAATGTTTCCTCTGTTTAGGACTTTTGTTTCTAAAATTAGAAAATTTCTAAAATTACAAAATTTAAATTCTAAAATTTAGTTTCAAAGAAAATTATTTATCAAATTCAACCTGAAATCGGCAAACCTTTTTGGCCCCGCAAAAACAATTGGTTGAAAACATTTTGCTCATCTCTATTCCCAAGAATTTTAGCCTTCGATCCAGTAAATGAATTCAGCTTATGCATCGATTAGCAGAAAGAAAAGTTATAGGGTGTTGTTTTGAGTGGGAATATTGGGTTTGGATTTCTAGGCTAGCATGCTTATGTCTATTTTAATAAGTATTAGCATAGTTGGTAATATAATTCATATTTAATTTCCTAAATATGTGTTTCAGATTATATAAGATTCAGGGTAATGGTGGTCAGATTATATAAGATTCAGGGTAATGGTGGTCAGA